ACGAATGGGGAAGACTACTGCAGAGCAGAAAGAACTTCTTTCACACAACAGCACACATCTTGACATTTACAGCCAATGTGGAGTCAGAGGTACAGGAAGAACATCAAGTGCTCAGCTAGCAGATTGATGCACAGCACACCTACAGCAGGGGGACCATAAAGTGCTCATCTGCCCCACAATCGACTCTACTACTCACCTTTAAAATGCTTGCGGTTGCCTTTGGATCGGTTTAGCCACCTGGGAGCTCACCCACACACTTCCTAGCAAAGTCATTGTTTACCGTGAAGGAGCGTGGTTTGCCAGTGGGAGCACAGTTCAGTTACAAGGCACCATTCAGTCATCAAGTGTTGTGGCATTTCCAGTGTGACCTTAGACTAGGCTAAGAGGGCCATGACTTCATCTCAGCCACCTCATCTAGGATGGATGACCGTCTCTGTCATCTCACAAGATTTCCGGGAAAGTGGACTCTATAAACTCCTTTGGAAACTCTGGCCAGGGATTCTTTCTCATGTTCATCTCCTTGGGGTGACTATTTTCTTTTGTCTAAGCAAGAACCTACTCCTCCCTTCCTCCCTTTGGTTTGTCCACCCTCCATCCCTCCACTCCTTCATTCATCCTTCTATCCCTCCATCTTTCCATTCATTCCTACACTCAGGATTCATAAAACGCAAATGCTACTCCAGGTCACTTCTGAGCCATGCCCTGGATAAGAAGATGAATCAAGCACCTCCTTTGTTCCTGAAGGATCTAAACAAAGAGCACAGAATAATGCTGTGTGTGGTCACTCTTCAAGTTATGGGGTACCAACAGCCACAGCAACAATGGGAGGAGGTGGAGACACGGAGGCACAATGTTCCTCTTGTACTGGGACAGCCTCATCTTCCAGAACCTCTGCCTCCAACGGAAACAAGACCAGCTCAAGTAAGTACCCAAAAGATACAGCCTCTAAATGGCCAATCACATAGTCCAATCTGCTAGACGGCTGCTTTGGAAAACTTCAACTGATTCTTTGAGAATGTCAGTGTCTCTTGCAAACATGGAGAATAAGGAGAAAAGACACAAGCACCCAACAACTTCACAGTGGTTGATATTCTTTGCATAACTTCTCAACTTATAGACGTACTTCAGTTGTTTGTAACTTGAAAATAAAATTGGGATCATGGTGTGGTGTTGTTCCAAGGTGCTCCAATTCTATGACCTTAGAAGAGGGTTGGGGGGCCATGCTTCGGGCCTACCATTCTTTTCAATACTTGGCTTGACTTCTCAGCAGTTGGCTTGGTTCTGAAACATCCTTTGAAAACATGCCTGTTGAATGGCTATCCTTTACTGTATCACACAGATGTCCCAAGCTATCACCACCATAAATAATGCTTAAACATATACACATTTCTGATGAATTCCTTGGAATAAATTCCTCAAAGTGCATTTCCTGTATCTTAAGGAATGTGCATTTTAAGGCATTTAGCTCACTGCCAAATTACTCCAACAGAAGATTTGTATTCATGTACATTCCCACGAGCAAACATAAAAGCATCTACTCTTCTCTTTAACACTATGGATTTTGCCTTTCCTGTTTCGTGCCATTTGATAGGAAGCAGAGGGTACATCCACAAGTCTGATGAAGAGCGAGCTGCATTTCTCCCAGTGATTAGTGAACCCGTATATACATTCTTTCACAGCCTGTTCATACCCTCTGCTCATTTCTTCCCTGCTGAGTTCAACTTGGCCTCCTGGAAACTTTCCTCTGTTGGCCCCCGTTGGGCCTTCTGGAGCCACCCGCAGATGACACCCCCTCAAATACTTGAGGACAGGCATCATGTCTCACTTTCTCCAAGTTCAACAACCCTGGCTCCTCCAGCCCTACCATGTGAGACACAGCTTCCAGAGCCAGCATTGCAGACTGGTGCCCAAGAGGCACTGCACACTCCAGACTTTGTGGTCACCCAGCTCTCCTCAGTTGTCTGCCCACTCTGGACGCCACTGCCGGCTGGCACCCCGCACCTCAGCCTCCTTGCTCCTTCCTCCTGCACAAGGACATTGAGCGTGCCTTTTCCCATTTCTCATGTGATAGCGAAGGCCTGTAGCTCCACTGTTAAGATAACTCCACAACTTTAAAAGACTATAAAAGATGCCCGCAGCATTCTCCAACAAAGGGCGTCCTCCAATAAAGAAAGGCTTGGCTGGAGCCTTCCCTCCCCCCAGGAAAAAAGAGAGGGCAGTTACTCCATCCTAGCCCACTCCTGCCTACTGGGTGAGGGAGCTAAGAAACACCTGTGAAAGTCACAGCCCCAAAGCAGACCCAGGGAGAGACTCTGAATCTCCAGACTACAAAAGACTCACCGTCCCCACTTATCATCGTCATACCATCTACAGTAATGTAGGTGACATTCAGAGGGCTGCTCCTTGTAAGGGGGGACTTTTGGGGAAACATGAGAGAAATGCATAGCCTCTGACATGTGTAGTGACAAATATGAAACATACCCCAACTCTCAGTAAGATAAGTGTTATTGAAAAAGCTTGTGGAAAAACAAAATGGAAGTCAAAGATAAGATTCTCTTAGTGCAAAATTTTCAAAGATCCTAGTCAGGAAGACAGCAGCAAAACATGCTGTTGTTGCCAATCTAGAACTGCCATCTCCAGCGACATTATCCTTCAAAGGTGAAGGGCAAATAGAAATTTTTCTCGTCGAAATAAACATAGAACTCATCACCTACAGGAAATCTTTAAGTTCTTCCCGAAGTAGGAACTGTTATGTTAGAAACTCAGACATACATAAAGAAAGAATAGTGTCAGAAAAGGAATAATGAGGGTGACACGCGGTCTTTTGTTTGTACGATTCTTTTAAAAAATATTTATGAATTTCTTTTTATTTGAAAGCACAGGGGAAAGGAGAGAGAGTGTGTGTGTGTGTGTGTGTGTGTGTGTGTGTGTGTGTGAGAGAGCGAGCGAGAGAGGGATCTCCCATTCTCTTGCTCACTCCTGAAACACCCAGAGTGCCCAGGATTGGGCCAGCTCAAGGCCCCACAGCTGGAAACACAATCTGTCTCTCACATGGGTGACAGGGACCCTGACAGTGGAGCCATCACCTGCTACCTCCCAGGGTGTGCATCAGCAGGAAGCTGGGATGGGGAGTGAAATAAGGCATTTCTGAAATGGGATGCACACATTCTGAGTGATGTGTATTTACAATGCCAAGTGCCTGCCCTATTTTTATTCTTCATGAGCAGTAACAAGCCAAAGAATAAGTAATATTTACCAAACGTTGGGTCATGATAGTATACAGATAAGTGGAAAAAAAGGGGGTATAACATGATAAGGTATATAAAGAGATAAAAGGGCTGTTCTTTTAGACCCTTGCACGATCCATGCAGTATTCATACATGAGTTTATATTGGTTGTAACTGTATATGCAAACAGTGAAAATATCTGAAAGAAATAGAGTTGATATGTTAAGAGAGGAAAGAAAGCAAAATCATGTCAAGTGCTCAATGAAAACTAGAGAAGGCAAAAAAGGAGAGGAAGAAATAAATAACAATCATAAAGAAGAACAAACATGGCAGCTGTGAATCACACTGTATCAATAATCATGCTAAATGCAAACAGTGGTAAACACACCAATTAAAAGACAATGGATTAAAATACTAGACCCAACTAAATGGTACCCAGCACAAAGGCATTTAAATATGAAGACCGATTTGGGTTAAAAGCATGGAAAAAATAAACCATAGTTTTCTAAGACACAGCAATCCTTAACATATACACCAAACAAGAACAGCACCAAAATACATGGGGGTAAAATCCAATGCAACTACAAGAAGTAAGCCAAGCCAGTGTTACAGTTGGAAATGCCAACACTTCTCTTTTAAAGTGATTGATTCGTCCAACACACACACACACACACACACACACACACACACACACACACACACACACACACACACACTCAGTGGCCTTTAAACAACATTACCAATCAATTGAATGTGATTGGTATTTAAGCAATAGGCCATACATCAATAGTGGAGTATACACGGACATTAAATTGACAATGGGACAACATTTTTGTGTTTGTGAAGACACAACGTGTTCTAAGCCATAAAGCATACACTCATTACTTCACCTTGTATGTATTCAGATTTATTGAGATCTAATTCACATAGCACAAATTAGCCACTTAGTGTGTATAACTTAGTGTTTTTCTCTGGGCTTATAGGGTTGTGCAACTACAATCACTAATCTAATTATGTAGCTCCCTTGTCACCCGGAAATAAAACAGTGAACCCATTATTGTACCCACAGGATGACCCAGTAGTCACTCCCCATTCTTTGCTTTTGCACCTGGAAACACAAACCTACTCTCTGGCTTGATAGGTTTCCCTATGCTGAAGATCCCTTGCAAATGAAAGTGTATACCATGTGGCCTTTTGTGAGTGACTTTTTAAATTTACTATAACATTCTCAGGGTTCATCTGTATTGCATTAATACTTTGTTACTCTTTATGGATGAATCCTATTCCTTTGCAAGGATATACAACACTTTTATCTATTTATGGTGTAATTTGAGTTGCTTCTTCTTTTTGGCCATTATGAACAATGCATCTATGCCATTCTTTGTAGATCGATGATTTCAACTTTTTCAGATACACATTTAAGAGAGAAAAACTGCTGAGTCCTGTGGCTGCATAGTAATTACTGCTTCCCAAGGTGGTTACACCACTTCCCATTCCCACCAGCAACATGAAATATACCTGTTGCCTAGTGAAACCATCCCAGGAGTGTGAGACATCTCATTGTGGTTTCCTTTGCCGTTTCTCTGCTGACCTAGGCACAACTATCATTTCAAAGGGTCACATTGGCCTTGCAGAAGATTCTCCAGTCATTGAGACGCTTATGTTCTAACTCCCATGGAAGCAAAAACAGTGGAGGACATTTCTAATAGGATGCTGCGGTCAGACGTCAGTAGCCTTCATTGCCTTTGCCATACGGGGCACAGGTCTGCTTACCTGCAGGCGGCCAGGCCTTGATGTATCCTGTGCAGTGGACCACGGCATACTGGGCCTCTCCTTCTTTCACCGGACCAAGGCCATTCCTAAAGTGAGAACAGCTGTGGGAATGTTTTCATGCCATGGGATTGAGGCAAGGCTGCAGATGGCTCCTTTAGCACGGAAGCTACTGGGTTCCCTGTTTGTCTTTGTGGTTTAAAGACTTGACTTTTGCCATCCTGTTTTCCCTCCTCCCACATGGTATGTGAGTCTCAAGTAAATTCTACCTAATCCCCCCTGCCCCGCATCTCATTTCACCCTGTGTACAAGATAGGGCTAGTCCACAGCCTCTCCCACAAGCGCACAGCAGGAGACACTGACCTGAACCGCTTCCTCATGGTAGTGATTCTGTTCAGGGGCAGGTGGTCCAAAGGAGCATTTCCACACCTGGGATGGAACCAGTGGAGCAGAATGAGTGAAGACCCCAACCCGTGGTCCAGATGCACAAACGATAGCAGCAAGCAGAGCAAGCACACCCATAGCCTGTCTCTTCGGTGCCAAAGCTGCCTCTGAAGGAAGGAGTGTGTGACCCACTTTGTAATGCATACCCCCAAGCTGGAGACTCCCAGACTGTAAGATTCTAACAGGCACCTGGCCAGGTTCTGACCCACAGAGCATTTCAGCGGGGCTGGGGAAAGGAGAGGGGTGACTCTCAAGAATCAGAGGACAGAGGTGAGAAGGGGCCATGCCTCTGCAGGGCTGAGTGGAGACAGCAAGTGGAAGCAGATGTTGCCAGCTGTTGGGCAGCAGCATCCCTGACAGTGGCATCCCAGCTGAGGGAAATTCTCCCTGCATGCCGCTGTAAGGTCCTCGCACAGCTGGAAGTTGGCAAATGAGATGAGGGATTCACCGGTTCCGGAATAAGTCTTGCTGTGGGTCCCTCTTGGGGACACACTGTGCCCACTGTGTCCTGGGACTTCTGCTATCCCCCATGCCAATGACACTCTGAGAATCCTGGCACTGAATGTGCCAAGTCTGCACTGTGGCTGGGCTCTGGCTGCTGCTTGCTAAACACCCTCTCCTCATGTAACTGTGTCTCCCAGCTACCCAATGAGCAACATCCCAAGCAGCCTGCTTGTCAACAGAGCAGGGAGAGGATCCCAGTTACATTCCTAGACTTTGGAGAGTGGCAGCACTGGCATGGTTTTCCCAGCAGGATCACTCTATGATGTTGCTATTGTCCAGGAATAGCAGCATGGCTCTGTTTCTGGGTTGGCCAATTGCATCCAATCCATTGCATTTGGAGGCAGTACCACCCACCTCCAGGTAGTGTGGGTCTGGCATTTCAGAAAGCAACCTGGAGCGGTTTCCCCTGTGGGGTACTGAGACAGGAAAGGCACAGCACACCTTTGGTTGATGGGTCAGGGAGACTGGCTTCTGCTGAAAGGGGACCTGAGGAGGCTGCCAAGCAGTCAGCTAATAAGGGAATTGCTTGGATGGGGCAACTGTGAGTACTCCCACCAAGCTGGGATGGGCATTTCCTATGTTCATCACAGCACTGCAGGATGGACCCTGCTCTGACCTTCTGTCCCTGGGTAGACACCAATGCAGGGACTCCCAGTCCTCAGTCTCTGAGTCACTCATGTGTTGTTCTGTCACTCCAATACCACCTTATGGCTAAGGCTGAGGGTGGGATGGGGAGGGGGTTCCCTCTGTGTCTCTTATAAGTGTGCCACTTGTTCAGCAGGGACAGTAGATGCTCAGAACCAAAGCCAGCTATTTGTACAGCCCTTGAGGCCACACAAAGGAACAAAAATATTGTCAGCTCCAAGGGCCCAGCAAGGGGTCAATGATGCTGGATGCCCTCTAAACAGGCCACCTTGGTTAAGCAATCTGTATGTGAACAGATTCTGTTTAAATTACACAGCTATGGGGCTGGCATTGTGGGGCAATCGGTTAAGCCACTGCCTGTGACACTGACATTCCATATGAGAGCAAGTTTGAGTCCCAGCTGCTCTGTTTCCAATCCAACTCCCTGATAATACCCCTGGGAAGGCAGCAGAAGATGGGCCCAGGTACTTGGGTCCCTGAACCCATGTGGGAGACCTGGATAGAGCTCCGGACTCCATACATTTGGGGAATGAACAAGTGGATAAATGCTCTCTCTCTCTCTTTCTCTGTCTCTCTCTCTCTCTCTCTCTCTATATATATATATATATATGCATATTTCAAATAAACAAATTTCTCCTACTTGCTTCAAAAAGTCACTTTGAATTACGGCAAGCATACACTTTTAAAGCAACTACTGTTTGGAACTTCTCAGAATACAGCACACACTGAACTGGCTGCTCCCACTTGTGGGTGACAGTGGCGACAGGGTGTGGTTGAACCATGCCTGGTCTGAGACTCAGAGTATCGCTGGGGCCCAGGGACCTGTCAGAGGTATAGGAGACACTGAGGATCAATCATAATGGACTTGGCACAGCAGGGAGGGTTTCTATTCAGCTCCTCTCTCCTGTCTCCAGCCTCAGCTCCACCACCTACAATGGACTCTCAGACTCACACTCAGCACGCATCAGCGGCACTGGGCAGAGGGTCGCTGGTCCTTCCACAAACGCCCTTCACCTTCTCTTGCTCCCCTCCTACCTGCCTAGCCATTCCTCCTGTGTCCTTTGCTGAGTCCCTGCTTGCCTTCCTGTGTGGGAGTGTCCTGCGCACCGACCTCCTAGGTCTTATCTAGCTTCACTCTCGTCCCAGGTGATCACGTATCCCAGTCTCCAGGCTTCAGATCCCATCCATCTGACCTCAGAAAGGCCCCAGGTCCTGACCTTCTGCCTGGTCCTCTCCCTTGAATTCCAGAATCATTGAGCCAACTGTCTGCCCCTCATCTCTAGCTGTCTGAAGGGACTGTTCCCATCTTAACTGACAGTAACTCCACTCTTCCCTTGGAGTAGACATACATTTTCCAGGTGCCAGGGACATCTCTCAACCCCCTTCTCTGTCTGTGAAGTGGTGTCTTTTACCACCATTCCCAGCTCCATGTCTCTCACCTGAGTTAGGACTCTATTCTTTTTCCCTGCAGGCTGCTTTGGCACACGAAGCCAGAGCAAGCCTCTAACAGCAGGTGGCACACTATGCGCTGAGGATCCAGCTCCAGGGATCCTCCAGGCCTCACAGCACAGGCGGCAGTCTCATCAGGCGCATCTGACGCACCATCCACCACCTCTTGGTCTCACCTCTGAGCATTGCTCCCTCGCTCCTCACTCCTTCTGCTCCCAAGACAGAAATCGTACTGTGCCCTGAGTGTGACAAGCACGCCCCTGACTCGCAGCCTTGGCCCTGGCTCTCCCCTCTGTCTGGTACTGTCTTTGCCCAGGTGTTTCTGTACCTCACCTTCTCCAGGTTTCTATTCTGACATCACCTGATTCATGAGCCCCCTCCCCTCCCTAAATAACATGTCAATTCTTCGTGCCTACTGCCTTCTCCTCCTTCTGAAGTTTATTTCCTTCCATAGCCTGTACCCTCATCTGAATGTCCCAAGTTTATTTTGTCCTTTTGTCTACTACATATCATCCCCATTTAAGATGTGGTCCTGTGTGGCTGGGGACTGAGTCTGCTTTGATTGAAACCTCAGTCCCTTGAAGGACATCTTGAAAGGTGTCCCACACAGGGGAGCATCTGTAGGAATGTGCTGACCAACCAAATAACTGAATGAGTCGAGGGCATTGCCTCACGTCACTGCCTGCTAAATGCCACAGCCTAGGCAGATTGGCTACCTGTCCTGCACCCCCTACGTATCCCTCTGGGACCAACCACAGGGACGAACTGTCATATGCTTGGGGATTTGAGATCCCAGCTGTGTCTTTGTTGGGGACATGGCTGAAGACCCTGACCACTGTAAAGTGCAGTCACTCCTGCAGTGATGCAACAGTGATGTATAAAGCAGCAGACTCGTCCAGTAGATGTCAGAGAAGTTCAACGATGCAGAAACAAAAGCCTCCATCCCCAGAGCAAGGACATATATTCATGGGGCCCAAATACTCACACTGAAACCAACAGTTCACTCCCTAGATAGAAGCCAACTAAGGATGTTGGCACTGCCCCCCAAGAAATACAAGGATCCATATGGAATCAGTAGGTCTTAGTACAAAACACGGACCCTGGGAGGAGGGGAATGGATTGGAGGTACAGGGGGTGAGCAGATGCGAATCTGGGGAATTGGGGGAAACGGTGGGAAACAAGTGGAATGGGATAGAGAGGACACAGGGCAAGGGATGTGCATGGTGACAGGCTGATTCCAAGAAGGGGCTGTCACCACGCGGACGGGGGAACCAAGTCACCAATCGTGACCTTGGCAGGACTGCAGGGGCTCCAGACGGTGAGGGTGCAGCAGGGGCCCCCGCCCGGCACAGCCTGTACAGGCGCCCCACACACCTCATCCTGCAGATGAAGGAGCGCCGAGAGCCCATGCACATGCGCATGGATGACTGCTGCCCTTCCTTCTTGACCGTGCCGGTCTTCAGGTCCAAGATGCGGCCTGGGAGGGAGAGAGAAGGACAGTGCGTGAGCCCCCTGCCTGGAACTGGGCGATGGGGTGTCGGGGAGGTGCGGACCGGAAAGAGAGGACGGGCGGGGCTAGGCAGCCGTTTGGAATTTTCAACATTCCTTGGCAGGAAACTGGGCGCCACACCATGCAGACAACTGGAGATGCCTTGCTTCCTTCTGCGCGCTCTCCACCCATCATCTCCACCTTGTCGGATTCCATCACTTCAAGTCATCCCAGCGGCACCTTCTTCCCCCAGCGCATCACGGCACCAGCATCGGCTGAGGTCACCCCGGCTTCCCTGATGCTGAATCCGAAACGCGATCGCCTTTCTTCCAGCGGTGCTGACCCTCAGACAATCACACTCTGATCATCACTCCTCCCTCCTCCAAAGTCTTCCTCACCCAGCTGTCTACACACCATGCTATGTTCGCTTTGGTCTGCCCCTTTAGCTTGGTCTCCTCTCACTCCCTTTAATACCCTGTGCCTTTTTACCTTCTCCAGAAGGTTGCCTCTGGATACCAATGACCTCCCACCCCTTTGGCCACACATCCACACCTCTAGCACCAACCCCTCCATCTCCTTAGCCTTAGAAGTTGGTACCTCCTATGCACTCCACACCACTCGCCCACCGCTCTCAAAATTCTCCCCAGATCACCAAGACCACAGCCAGCCAGACATGTGGCTTTGAAGTCAAGAATCTGGACCCACGCTCTGAGTCCATCCTCTGCCCCTTCCCCTTACCCAGATCCCCTTCACCTGTGAGGCCCTGTCTCCTGGGAGGAAGGGCTCCATCCAAAAGGAGTCCTCCCCACCCCAGGGGGCCCTTGTTCCACCCACTGATCTGACCCACCCAGCTGCACTCCACCTCTACCTGCCTTTACATGCACCTGCTCCTGTGTCTAAACACTGTTACCTCTCATCTTAGGGGCAGAATGACACACACACAGGACATCCCTGCTCCCTCTCTCCACCTGCAAGCAGGTGCCTCTCCTGTCTCCCAACTCCACCCAAGAGACCCTGCCTCTCTCCTGTAGCTCCCCTACCCCCTACCTGTTGATGCCATGAGGGCACCTGTCTCTAACTGACCAGGCCTCTCTCCTGCACCTTCCCCATATGTTGATGCCATCAGGGTGCCTGTCTCTAACTGACCAGCCCTCTCTACTTTGATTTGGCCTCTGCAAAACCCTTTGCTTGATGGAACCTGGCCTTGAGATACTCTCTCCCTCTCTGTGTGTCTTTGCAGAACCCAGTGTAACCAAAATCCCCAATCCCTGGGATCTCACCAGTCTCAATATCTCATCACCTTGGTCAGCCTCCGCGAGAATTCTGCTAGTTAGAAGAACAGGTGTTAGGACGTGGCTTAGGGGTACCATGTCTAGTTCAGCTTCCCGCTAACAAAGACCCTGGAAGGCAACAGGCGATGGCAGCACTGGGTCTTTGTCACCCCTGGGGGACATGCAGAATGGGTTCCTGGCTTCAGGTTAGCTCAGCCTTAGCTGTTACAGGAATTGGAGAATGAACCAGCAGATAATCTCTCTCTCCTTTTTGAATAAAGGAAAATAAATCATTGTTTTAAAAGAGAATTCTCTTGGTCTAGAACCTGCCTTGCCCCTTTTAGAGATTCACTGTCCACTGACCCACACTCTGCTTCCTGGACATAAACTGGAGTCGGGGCCTAGCCCACTTCTCACACTACAGTGAGCTCCACTCACTCCCAGCATCACACACGTCCACAAGGGTCTTTCACAAGTGCATGAGCCATGGCTTCTTTAAAACAACAAACCTACCAGGGCTGGGCCAGGCAGAAGTCAGGAGACAGAAACTTCCTCCAGGCCTCCCATGCAGGTGCAGAGGCCCAGGACTTGAGCCATCCTCTGCTGCTTTCCCAGGCCATAAGCAGGGAGCTGGATCAGAAAAGGAGCAGCTGGAACTTGAGCTGGTGCTCATAGGATATGCTGGCTTCATAAGCGGCAGTTTTACGCACTGCACCACAAGGCCAGCCCCTTATTCCACTTCTTGACACCGTAGCTCTGCCTTCATCCTTGCCTTCCCGGGTGAGTGGCAGCTGCAGGGAGGTCACACCCCTCAAAACCATGTCCTGATTCTTTTTTATTTTAAATGTTTTATTTTTATTGTAAAGGCAGATATATAGAGAGAAAAGGAGAGATAGAGAGAAAGATCTTCTGCCTGCTAATCCACTTCCCAAGTGGCTGCAACAGCTGGAGCTGAGCTGATCTGAAGCCAGTAACCAGGACCTTCTTCCAGGTCTCCTACGCGGATGCAAGATCCCAAGACTTTGGGCCATCTTTGACTGCTTTCCCAGGCCACAAATAGGAAGCTGGATGGGAAGTGGGGCAGTTGGGACATGAATTGGCTTCCATATGGGATCTCAGGTGTGCAAGGCAAGGACTTTAGCTACTAGGCTATTGCACCAGATCCCACTGCCCTGATTTTTTACTTAAAACAGGCATGACTAGCCACAGCCCTGGCACTGATATGAGCCCAGGCCCTCAGTCTCACAGGTCTGTGTCTTCCCTTTTGCTCTTTCAGGACCACGGTGATACAACACACATGACAGTGATTTGCGCGCAGAGCAAGCCATGACCAGCAGTCCCTGGCAGGCTGAAACAAGCAAGTCCACTGCTCCTTGAAGTCCTCTCTCACTCTCCAGCATGAATTTCCAAAATACAAACCCTGCAGTCCCACAGAAAAGCACAAAATCTAGTCTGACAGCTCTCCCACCTGCTCTACCCAGCTCTGCCTGCCCAGAACATCTCATGGCACCACCCACTATGAACTGCCCTCACCTCTCTTAACTCAGGGCTGTCCCAGCAGCCTCCTGTGCCTGGGACAACCCCCTCCCCTTTGCTTGAATCACCCCAGTGTCCCCTCCACTGTGGGTCCTAAGCATTCACTCAACATCTATGTCGCATGCTAGGCATGAAGACCATGAAGTGAAGGATCTTCAAAAAATATCAGGGCAGTGGATATCTTATGAAAAAAAAAATGAGGCATGAATGTCAGTTTCTTTTTTGCATCAAAAAGAGCTTCTATTTAAATTCTGTTTTTACCATGAACTCCCAAAGTGGATGAGAAAAAGCAAAACAAGCACAAAAAGAAAAAAAAAAAAAGCAGGGTAGCATAGAATGGAATTGTCAACACGTGAGAAACTGTGCACCACAGTAAGGAGGCCTAAGGAAGCTGAAGTGCAAGCGAGACTGGAACCCCTCCCTGCGCCACACTTCTGGGCAAGCCCTGGCAGTCTCCCACTCACGGTCTCACATCCTGAGGATCGGTCTGGCAGTTGCTGCAGCAGGCTGCTCCCCGACCCAGGAAACACATCACTGTACAGGTACGGGCACCGCCACGGCGCTCACTCCTGCAGCGCTCATGGTTAAGCTGCACCCACACCCCCCAGCCCTCAACTCTAGCCACTCCTTAGAGCGGGCACGAGGTGGGGGTGGGGAGAGCTGTGACAACAGCCAAAGCCCGCCACCTCCATTCTCAGAGTTGTCTGCTGGCCCAGGCTTGACACCTGTCTGTCTCCTGCACAAACAGCGTCCTCTGACAGACACTGTAAGCGTCGGCTGTCACTGCTTTCCCACCACCACATGGCGGAGAGGCAAGCCTGGCGTGAAGACTTGTCAAATTCCAAAATGTGCTCTGAAAATAATCACAGCTGCACCCGGGGACCAGAAGGAAACGGAAATCCACGCTGCCGTGACCCGCGGTCCTGACCCCAGGAGACCCCCGCTCCCACGCTGAGTTCTCCGTGGGCATCTTGGGTTTCCTTCTGCACAGTGAGCTCCCCTCCCGGCCTGGCTCCCTGGACTGGACATGTGTCTTGTTTTAGCCAGTGCTCCTGGAAGGCTGTGTGTAAAATGGATTTCTGACACATGAATAGCCATGGAGGCATGCAGGGAGCAATTTCCTTACAGAAAGCCCCCCAACTCCTGTTCCCATTAATCACCCTGATTCCACAGGGAGAGGTGGCCCTCTGAAGAGAGCCCACATGTCAGAGGGTGAGGGCCTGCCTTCCTGTCCCTTAGTCCCCAAAACCCATCTAGAGCAGGACTGCTCCTCGCAGACTCCTGCACCTGGTTCCCCTCTTAGCTCCTGCGGTCTTTGACCTCTGGGCCACATCTCCCTCATTCAGACCTCAGGTACGTCATCCTTGTCTTGGTCTTCTGCCATCCTATAGGTTGTCAGCCTCCATGTGGAGGACCCCTGTGTATGCCCCTCTCAGTAACAACCCCCTCAATTCCCACCACAGTCACTTTCTCCCTCACCCCCGCCGCACCGCAGCCAGCCACCCAATCCCACCAGCAGGTCCTGGACCTGTGTTCACCTCCAGACCTGGCTTATCCCAGCATTCACAGGCACTAGACCTCATCTCCCAAACCACAGCCCTCTCACTGCCCCCTCAGGCCTCCCCTCCTCTCTGACTCAGGCTAAGCTCAACGTCTGGCTCTTCAGACAGCCCATCCACTCTGCGACAACAGCTGCCCACCACCAGAGCAAGCAGGACTCAGCATCCTGGGTGGGTCCCAAAAAGCTTCTAGCACAGCCCAAGCAAGATGCTGGTCTGCATCTGGTGCTCAGAGGAGTATCATCAGCAAGTTCAGGTTCGTTGGTCCATACAGACTCTGAGAAGGGAAAGAAAATGCACAAGATCTAAAACAACTGAGAGGTCAAAAAGAAGTTCCTAGCAAATGCTTAGTAGGAAAACAGTGCATGGGTTTCAGTATGTTTTCTTCCGAAATAACCTCTGAATTTCAACCATGCCCCAAACTCCTCGCAGTTCCTCCACAGGTCGGCTGTGGGATCTGAGCAGGTCACTTAGGTTCTCCGAGTCTCCATGTCCTCAAAGCCGTAAATGAAGAGCTCAGTCTAACCCCAAGGGGCTTGTGGGGTCCAGGTGGCGCCTTTGGGAGTCCTGAGAGCCACAGGCCGCGAGGGTCCCCACCCCAGAGGCCAGCAGTCCAGCCCTT